AGCCCGGTGCACCTCGCGCGGCGGCCGCTCTCGCTCGAGCCCGGGCCGCGGGTGAGGGGCGGGGAGAGAAGAGGCTGTGGCGCGGCAGGAGAGTGGGGGCTCGGGCGCCCCCAGCAGCCTGGAGAAGTTCTCGAAGTGAGGGGGTTGGCCAGGAACCCCGAAATTCGGCCCAATCCCTTCTCGGCCTTTCTCCGCAGATGAGGCCGGATCGCGGGCCTGGGTTTGGGGCTTCACCTCGACCCCACCTCTGGCCTGGCCCGAGCCTCTTCAGCCCCCAGGGCCGGGCCTGCCCTCCGCCCCCACAAACTGGTTTCTCTGCTTTGCTGGGCTCTGTTGGAACTAGTCCCTGTGACTCCCCGTTTCTCTTTTTCTGGGGTTTTATTTTGCATGGAGGGCGTAGGGGGGAGGGGGCTTTTCTTCCTCTCCCCTGCGCCAGTGCGCGCCAGGCTTCCTGCCCCAAGGCGGGCTTGGGTGCCCCCTCTGGCAGGAAGTGGGGCCGGGTGCACCCGCGTGGCGGTGCATGCGGTCGGGGTGCGCCAATTTCCCGCGCCTGCAGGAGCGGCCTGCGCCCCTCCCCCCGCGCGTCCTGGCCCCTCGTCCCGCCGGCGGTCGGCCTACCACAGCCCAGCGCAGACACTTGCAGAGTCACCCTGGGTCCGGGTCTGTAGCACGGGGCAACAGGGTCTTAATCAGCCTGTAGGCGGGTAAGAAAAGTGGCGGGCCGTAAGGGTCTCTACGAACCTACTCCATCCTCTCGCCAACTTGCTGTGTGACCTTGGGCAGCTCATCAGTTTTCTCTAGGCTACTTTTTTTTTTTTTTCTTTTTAAGTAAGAGAGCCGCCAAGATGATTTCCCAGGGTCACTCCTGCAGAATCCTTAAGCATTTGAGGAGCACACATTGTGTTCACGGTGTATGGAGGAGACGGGCGTGTGAGGCAGAGAGGGATTATTACAAACCGAGGGATTGCGGTCGGGCCCTAAATGTGGCTTCACCAAGCCAGGTCTCCCTGAAACAGGTGGAAGAGGCAGCGTTTCTTGGCCTCACTAGACAGGGCCTCAGGCCTTCACTCTGTTCCCAGGGGCCTGGCTGGTGGGGAGTGAGTGGGTGGATTAAAGGGTCCCAGCAGCAAGAGGTGGGGGGAGGCACCAGATGGTATAAGAGCTTCCAGGGAGACCAGCCAGGATCCCCAGGCTCGGTCTTGGCTCTCTGGAATTCAGGACTGGGTTCGCCCACTGGAACCCCCTCTCTTAGGGGGCCTCAGGCAGGCTTTAGGTGAGGTCAGCACTCATTTAGCTGATTAATTTTGATGTTTAGTTTGAAGGGGGACCAGTGGTGTAATATAAGATTCTAATCACTGCCTGTAATTACAGAGCAGGCCAAGTCACTAATAACTGAGCAGGATACATAACCAACCACCTTGTTTAAAGGGGGCTCCAAGTCTGAAATATTATAAAATAACATAATTACTAGGCTATGTCCTGCTGTCTGGAGGGTCTCTCGATGCTTGAGGATATGGGGGTCTTGGAACGTCCAAAAATCACAAGTTTGCAAAAATGTCTTCCCTCTCATTGGGTTAAAATTGAAAATTGCTTCAAAACCTGAAAGGGGGGAAGAAAAGTCATTTTCAAATGGTCTAGGTCTCAATTTGATTGGAGTGAAGATTTCTCTCCATTATTTAAGTCTTTCTAAACTTACCTAGTTTTGTCCTTGAAGCAGTCTGGAGAGGTCATTGAGGCAGGTGCCTTATCATTACCCCCATTTTACAGGTTGAGAGGCTCAAGAACTGGAGCCACTTGGGCCCACTCTTCACCAAGGGCAGGCAGGGATTGGTTACTAGAGAGCTGTGAAGACATAGTTCTTCCAGGTCTCACCTGTCTGTAGCTTGGGGATACTGGGATGGAGGTGTGGGGGACCCTCACTGTCCTTTTTACGCCTCTGGAAGAGGTCCCAATACAGGGTGCAGGCGCTTCTTGCAGTGGGAGGTTTTAGGTAAACTCACAATTAACAGGGCTAGTTAAACCCCAACAGGCCTCTGAGAAGAAGGAAGATGCTAGAAAAGGAGATAATCCCTGCCAGGGCCCAGGGTTTCAGCTAGGGTCTGTCTGTCAGAAGGGTGCATTCCAGTTAGAGAGTTCCCTGTCCATTAACCAGAAAGTCCCATCTGATTCCAGGTCGGGGCTGGGGGGGACACCCTTCAGCTTTGGGCTCCTTTTCCTTCCCCACCTTACCCTCAGCAGTTTCATTAGGCTTCCTCTTCTCCCTCCCTCAATTGTCCCCATCTTTGAGTCTTGCAAAGATTTACTTCCAAGAGTAAAGAGTAGGTCTCTGGAAGAGAGCTGGGGGGTGGTCCTGAGACTTGGACCTTGCCAGATAGAGGCAGTACTGTCAGTGAGGTGGGCAGGGGACTGATGTCCATCGCTGCCAGATCCCAAGGTCTCATTCTTCCCACTCCTCCTTCCTAGTCCCCTTTGAACGACCCAGGCAGCTGGCTACAGAGGAGGGGGCCCTAGCAGTGTGTGGGACCCCAACTCACTCACACTTGGCCCCAGGGCAGCCCCACCCACGCTGCCAGGTCTTGCTGGCTGTACCTGTGGGCCCAGACCAGCAGGGGTGGTGGCAGGGCAGGACAACAAAGAGCCCTTCTGAACGGAAGATAAGGAGCTGATTAGGGCCAACGGCCCTGCCCCGCCCTGTGGCACTGTGCTAGGGATGGGCAGACCCCTCTGTGCTGGGCAGGGTGGCAGTCCTGGGGGCCGCTGGGAGCAGGCGGTTTCCTGCAGTTGTGCCCTAAGGGTGGGGACAGTGAAGGGGTGGAAAGTGGCCCAAGCGAGTTGTTTTCTTAAAACCACTTTTTCTGTCTTCCAGCATCCCAGCCATCGCTCTTCCACCTGCTCCCTAGAGAAGGGAAGATGAGCGAGTCGAGCTCGAAGTCCAGCCAGCCCTTGGCCTCCAAGCAGGAAAAGGACGGCACTGAGAAGCGAGGCCGGGGCAGGCCACGCAAGCAGCCTCCGGTGAGTCCCGGTACAGCGCTGGTAGGGAGTCAGGTGGGTGTCCAAACCTTTGTCTCTATTTACCCCTTTAGGCTGGGGAGGTGCCTGGCGTCTCAGCAGGCAACAATGTGCATGGAGGGGTGCAGAATCATTCCTCACCCCCAAGTGTGCTCATACCCCACATGCACCTCTGGTCAGATCCTCCAGAGACCCCAGGAGAGAACTGGGAGCCAGGAGTTCAAGGTGAGTTCTGAAGCCAGTGCTGGAAAAACTACACGCCCTTTTCTGAATTTCTAGTCCACTGGGGACCAACAACTTTATAAAGTACACTAAAGGTGAACTAACAAAAATGAAAAAATATATATGCATAAAAGCCCAGAGTTTTTAATCAGTAGGTTCAATGCACATAAGATTACTCTGGTAATTTGCTATAAAGCTTTCTAGATGTTACTGTCAATTTCTGTACTTCCTCATCCTAGGCCAGTAACAAGTTTTGGGCCAGGACCTGTTCCCACGCCACACTTTGTGTAGTCCTGGAATGGCCTTTGCCCCTGGTACTGTAAATGGAAACTGAAGCCCAAGAAAAAAAAATGTTGGGGAGTTGGTGGCAGTGGCCCTCAGCTCTGGTGCTGCTCCCCCGACAAGGTCCCATGGACGGTGAGATGGCCAGCCTTTCACTGTGGGGCATCATGGGCAGTGGGCTTTGGGGGCCACCAGTTATGTGGGAGAGAGCTCGGCTTCTCACAGAGAAGAGGCTGTCCCCAAGCTGGGAATGGCTGTTGGTGAAGCCCAGTTACTTCCCTTTGTTAGGGAAGAGAAGAGGTGAGGAAAGGAACTGAAGTTGGCCCTTGCCCCTTGAACATTGGCAGATTGTTAGGCCTGCAGGTCTTCTCTACCTGTAAGGTGGAGGGAGAGTGGTCTGTACTAACTGATCTCTGGGGAGACATGAGATGTGAGGAGTCTGTGATGGTGGAATTCAGCTGCCACCTTCGGAGCCTGGGGTCAGGGGTTGCAACTTCTTAGCCTAACCCCTTAAGCCCCTCTGCCCCCAGCCCACCTGTAAGTCATGGTCAGTGGGGGGTGTCAGGAGGGGTGCTGGGTTACTGGACCATGCTTATAAACAGCCTATGGGCAGCTACCCCTTGGAAACAGTAGCTGACGTGCCTTTACTGCCCAGCTTCTATGCATTATGCAGGAGCTTTTTATTCTGTCTCCAGCTTATTAAAATTTCAGCGGCAACAATGGCAGGGATCTCTGGAGTCCAGGCATAATTCCTCTTCCCTGGAGGGAGTCCAAGTTTGCGGGAGGAGGCAGGGGGATCTTTTCCCCTCTTCTGTATCCCAGCAGTCTCCAGCATACCTCATCTGAGGGGGTGGGCAGCAATCACGGCCCAGTGCTAGACGCTTACCATACATTGTTATTTAATTTTCATGACGTCCTGCAAGGTAGGTCTTGTCAGCATTTACAGATGAGGAAACTGTGACTCCAACATTAAGCGTCTTGCCCAAGATGAGTGGCAGAACCGGGACTTGGGCAGAACCACCTAGTCTTTTCTGCCCCCATGACACCTTTCCCAGGGGTCTTCAGGCCCCTTGTCATCGTGTTGCCGCTGAAACCCTCAGGGAAGCAAGGGGAGAAGGGGTTTTGCAAATAATGGTCAAGCTAAGGCCTTGAATCCTGAAGGGCTTGCCGGCCATGGTTCCTGTGGATTCCTGGATCAGGGTGATTTCTTGCTGACTTACCCTGCTGGGGTGGGGCCGAGGGCCCTGTCTTCTGAAGGTGCTGCGACAGGTGGTGACTGTGTCCCTGACTGTCCCATCTGTTTTGGCAGAAGGAGCCCAGTGAAGTGCCAACACCTAAGAGACCTCGGGGCCGACCAAAGGGGAGCAAAAACAAGGGCGCTGCCAAGACCCGGGTGAGACTTGAGGAGATGGGGCCACTCCTGGGCGATGAATCCAAGTCCCTCTCCTTTTTCCAGAGCTGCAGCTCTGGGTAGTCTAGGGAGGAACTGGCTTGTCCTGATTCTGCATCCCCCTTCCCTGGCACAGTGATGGTGATGGGTCTTTGCTAACTAGGGAAAGTGGGATGATGACTGAGGACTCAATTCTACGGGCTTGCCCTGGACAGTGGGGAAATCAAGTCAGAAGTCCTGTAGCTTTCCTATTCTGGAGAAGGGCAAGGTGGGGAGAGTGAAGGGCCTCTCTGCCAGCCCCTGAGCAGAGAATGTTAACCTTTTCCCATTGGGTCCCCTGGAGCCTGAAGGGTGGGGGTAGGGGTGGGGACAAGCAGGGAAAGCTAGATTCACAGTGGCATCAGCCTTTCAGAAAAGTTGTTTTGTTTTTTATTTTTTCTAAGACACGACTCATATCCTCTGAGTCATGGAGGGAGGAGGGGGCATGTGTGTATGTTGGGGGGTGGGGGCAAGTGTGGCTGGCCAGTCATCACCAGCTGGACTTGGGTGGGCCTGCTGGGTGAGAGGCCTGGGCTGTCCTGAGCAGAGGTAGGTAGTGCCACCCCCGAACCCCCATCACTGGGTGAGCATTTTTTACTTAGGGGATATTTTCTCTGATCCTCTAGAAAACCACCACAACTCCAGGAAGGAAACCCAGGGGCAGACCCAAAAAACTGGTAGGTGAAGGAGCCTCCTTGGTTCTCTTGGGAGGGCATTAACCTGTGATGCCTGGTCCTGTGCACCCACCGTGGAAAGACTGCACTCTCTGACCTGCAGGGCCAGGAATGCTGAGACATCATCTTTTACAGAGGACCACAGAGGGAAGGAGTTTGCCCAGGGATTTTAAAGGCCTGTGCCTGTGGCTGGTTAGCTCAGTTGGTTAAGTGTGATGCTGATAACACCAGGGTCTGGGGCTCAATCCCTGTACTGGCCAGCCACCAGATAAATAAAGGCTGTGCCTGTGAGAAGTGAGGGGTCCCACGTACAAACTAGGCCAGATCCCCCTGTCCTGCCATAGTGGAGGGGGGTCCCTATCTCTTCCTCTGCTCCTAGAACAGACTCAGAACTTCCAGGGGAGATCTTGTAAGTCTGGCCCCCCAATTATATAGAGATTAGGAAAGGAAGCCACAGGAGAAGGGATGAGGTTGTCCTTATCCTGATCCTTTCAGGGAAGAGGAAGAAATGCCAAGGGAGCTCAGCTCTGGGGTGTGGGGTAGGGTCAGCACCATCCATTTCTGGGCCCCTAAATAGCTGGTGGTGGGGTAGGTGGCCCAGTGAGGAGAGTGCCTCTAGGGATATATGCAGTTAGGGCCACCCTAGCCTTCCAGTTCCCAGCCCTTTCCTACCCCTAACCTGCCCCCACAACTCCCCAAGGCATTCATTCCTCGAACTGAGCCACTACTGGGGTGGGGGGTTGGGGGGCGCTACTGGCCAGGCCCCAGGAGTGAGTAACAGGAAACAAGTTGTTTTGGAGTTTGTGCCTGGCACGGGGGCTGTAGGTCGTGTGGTGTCCCGACATTCCCGCCCAGTGAGTGAGCCCCGGCAGCACACACTTCCCCTTCCTCCCCACCCTGGCTTGGGGTCAGCCCTTGGCCACCCCAGAGGACCCTGCTTCCACAGCCCAGCACCTGGACCTGTGGCCAAGGCCACCTGGTCCCCCTGCACCCACCAGGGGGCTCACACACTACAGCCACCCCATCTCTTCCTATTTCCTCTCCCTGGCCAGTCTTTAGAGAGGTATAGAGAGCCTATCACTTCCTCAGCTCAGTGCTGCTCTGAGCTGCCCTTCTGCCCCTCCATGGGCCCGGGGGGCCATCAGTCTGTAGGGCCTGGCTCCTGGCTCCTGGCTCTGGCATGTGAGAGTAGCATGTGTGGGTTTTTTTCCTCCTTTTAAATTCTTCCTTTTTATGAATGAAACCGGGCCGTGGAGGTTGCTGAGTCACCCACACACTCAGCCCTGACTCACCCCCCCTTCTGGAGAGCCAGGGAGTGCAGGGGGCGGGGGCAGCCTCTGGGGGTGCGGTAGGAGGGGGCTGGCCCAGAGCTCACTGGCTCTGCCCACCTCACAGGAGAAGGAGGAAGAGGAGGGCATCTCGCAGGAGTCCTCGGAGGAGGAGCAGTGACCGTGCCGTGCCACCCACTCCCTCACTGAGGAGCAGCTGCTTCTGGGACTGGACAGCTCCACTCTGCTCCCACAGCCCCTGTCCCTCCCCCCAGGCCCACTGTCACCACTGCTTCCTTCCCACCAGCCACCTCACCTGCACCCTCACCACCACACTACACAGCACACCAGCTGCTGTGCTCCGGGCAGGGAACAGCTTTCCTCTGGCCTCAGTTCCCTGCAGCCCCTCCCCCCACACGTGCCCTCCTGGACAAGGCTAACATCCCACTTAGCCGCACCCTGCGCCTGCTGCATCGCCACTCCCTTGTCAGTGGGGACATTGCTCTCTGGGCTCTTGGTTTGGGGGCCCCTTCTCTGCTTCTCCACTGTTCCTCTGGCTCCCCATAGAAGAGCCTGGGAGGGCTCCCCTGGCCTTAAAAGGGGCCTGAGCCCCATCTCATTCCGCACACTCCACTGTACTGGCAGCAGCAGGTGTGGTCAGCGGGGGTGGGGCTGGGGGGGTGCTTGGTCCCCAGAATGCCCCAACCAATCTGTGTCTGTCACCATATGGGGCTCACACCCACTCCTTCCTTCCCCATCCTACATAGTCCCTGTGCTAGGCTGGACAGCCCCCTTTGGGGTGCAGGAAGGAAAGCAGGAGGGGTTTGAGCCCCCAGCCCATCTTCACAGGGGCCCCAGTCCACCTTGCCCTCACCCTGAGAGATCTATTGCAGTGATGGTGTGGTCACCTGTTGTCCAGGTGAGGCCCAGGTTCCCTGTGGTGGCCATCTAAGGGGGCTGCTCACCCAAGCCCACCTGCATCCACTCTAGGCCTGTTTCCCTCCTCAGGTGGGGCACCAATAACCAGGAACTAGCCCTGCCCATTCCCCCCACCCCACCCCCCAAGGTTCTGGTTCCACCTTTCCTCTGTTCACAAACTACCTCTGGACAGTTGTGTTGTTTTTTGTTCAACGTTTCATTCTTTGACATCCGTCATTGCTGCTGCTACCAGCGCCAAATGTTCATCATTGCCTCCCCCTGTTCACCCACGTTCCCCTCCCCCAGGGGGCAGGGGGGGCGCAGCAGGCTGGGTTACTGACTACCCCAGTCCCAGGGAAGGTGGGGCCCTGCCCCAGGATGCTGCAGCAAAGTGAGGAGGGGCCACCTTCTCCCGTTGTTCTGTTGGGGAGGGGGTGGCCATTTGTCCCAGCCTGGGGCTCCCCCTCTGGTTTCCTATTTGCAGTTACTTGAATAAAAAAATATCCTTTTCTGGACTGGAGTCTTTCTGTGGCATGTGCCCCTAGGGCCTGAGGTAGGTGGGTGGAAACCAAGGATCTGTGGACAGGGGATGCCCCACCACAGCCCCCCTTAGGCTGGGTGTTGGAGGAGGAATGGCTCTGGGGTCAGCTCTGGGAAAGGCAATTTACCCTCTTGAAATCAACCACACCCCTAGCCATAAAACATTTTATTTACAAAATATGTATACCAAATACTATACATCTGGCCCCATCACCATGGAAACAACTCCTAAACCCCCCTGGGGATTTAGGCCAAAGCCAAGTCCTGGAGGGCTAGAGAAAGTGAAGCTGTCTCCTAACCACCTTCCCACCCATGGAAAAGCTCCCATTAGTGCCTGGGGGCTGCTGCTATGCAGGGCTTGGGAAGTGGAGGCTGCTGGGGGGGTGGCGGGGGAGAAGGAATGGAGACCCAGTACCCAGCAGGGGGAGCTGGGGGAGTGGGAGGGGGAAGTAAGGCCCTGGGCAGTCAGGACCTTCAAGGCTCTGAAGTTTGGGGCAGGGGCTCAGGTCATGTCTTGAGATCCAGCAAGGGCATCCGCTTGTGTTGGTAGCCACTCTGCCAGCCATGTACTACCTGTTGGGGAGGAGACCGTGTCACAGGGCTGGGCTCTGGCCCCTGAGGTTTGGCATACTTGGAGGAGGTGCCCCACTAGTCACAGTCCAAATGGAGAGGCCCAAGGACATACCAAGCTCTGGTTTCAGGGATGAGTGTGAGAACAGGACGGACCCCCACCTCTGCCTGATGCCCCGTTCCCCCAGTGAGTGCTTACCTTAGGGTCTCCCCCATCAGAGAGTAGCTCCTGCTCAGCCTCATGCAGCTCCTCAGTGGGGTCGTAGCTGTACATGGGGAGCAGGTGATGGCGAAGCCGGTCCACCCTGTGGAGCAAGGGAGGGGGCTCAGCCCAGGGGGCACCCACAACTCTCATCCAACACTTGACTGCCCAGTCTCCACTCCCCTCCCCCAGTCAAGGGTAGTCTCCAGTGGGTACCATTTGGGACATACTACGCCTCAAAGAATACAAGCCTGACTCCATAAAGGGGCCTCTCTCCAGTGAGTAAACTGAGACTGGGGCAGGGAAAACAAATTTCAGGCTTGTATCTGGATGGCTGAGGAGCAGCTTACATGGATGCAGATAACTCAGATCCTATGGGAAGAAATTTAAGCAGAAAGGCAGGGGTGGAATGGTACACTCACCGCTTTTTCTTCTGGACATACATTACCTGTAACAGAGACACAGCAGTGTGGAGGCTGCTGAGCCCGGGAAGACCCACAAGCGAGGGGACCCACTTCCACACCCTTCCCTCCCTTAACAGGAGGACAGCTGAGATGCTGCATGCAGACAGGACTAGGCCCACCCAGCCCCTGCCATAGCAAAGGTGCGGGTGTTTATGTGTATATGTGGGGAGGCTCCTTACCACAGCCACCACCACCCCGACCAGGGTGATGAGGAAGAAAGGCCCCAACACATAGCCCACCATGGAGTCGCTGTTGGCTTGGGGGGCATTGGGCACTGTGGCGTTACTCATGACATCGGCAGCCGGAGGGCTGGGTGGTCAGCATGGGCAGTGGTGCCTTGGGAGGGTGCCTCCACTGGGCTCCCTGGGGAGGAGGAAGGGAAGTTATCAGTTGCACCTAGGGTGACATCCACACTCTGGATCCCTTCCCCAGAGCAGAGATCTAGGAAAACTGGTCTCCGTTCAAACACGGGGGTAGGGATCCTACAGGTAAACCTGCTGGGTGTAACTCTCCAAAGACTCAGCCAATTCTGGGTGGAAAGGGCACCAAAGGAAGGCCCTGATTCAGGGCCTGAATCCTGCCCAGCTCCTATCCCTAAATTAGGGTGGGGCCCAGCTCAGATGCTGGCCAAACATTTCCAATTCTCAACTTTTGGGCAAAGGTTAGGTGCAGGTTCCTGGGCACTTGGCGGCCAGCACCTCTCCACTGGAGCGAAATGGAGAGATTAGATAAACATAGGAAGGTCCTGCACTGCAGCCTAGGGGTGAGGTAGAGCATTTGAAGGAGCCGCCTCAATCCTGGTTCAATCCCCACACTTTAGGCTACGGGCCTCATGCCTGGGCTCTGTGAGTTCCTTGTTCCTGTGTCACCCCAGACATGTAGCCTGGACGCCCCACCCTCCCCATCGGTCTCATGTGCCAGGATGAACATAAGTGGGTAGGGCTGGATTGTATCTTCCAGATGATGTCACCTCCCTCTGGTCCCCACCCGGGGCTCCGCCCAGGTCCCTCCCCTCCTGGCCTCGGCTGACAGGCAGAGGTGGAAAGGGTCAGCCCCCATCGACCGAAGCAAGGAGATCGTCCTGGAGTGGCTGTACGTAGATGGCCCAAGGTCCCTGACCCAGGTTCGCCTGAGTCTCCATCAGAGGGCAAGGTATGAGGTACCTTCCCCGTGTCCGTGGAGCACCGGGCTTGCCCGTACCCAGTCGCATGCTCACCGTCCCAGGTCGGGGGCATTGCCAGGGTGGGGAAGGCGTCAGGCCGCTCCTAGGATGCGGGCCAGCAACAGCGGGCGGAAGGTAGTAGATCCCACGGCGCTGGGAGGCTCAGGCCGAGGGTTGGGGGGGTGTTGGGGGAGCGTGGAGGGGCCGCCCCGTGCCCAGGCATCCTGGAATCTGGCACCCCGAGGCGTGCACCCGTGGCGGCGCTCTGCAGCCCAGCCAACCCGATCATGCCTTACCTCCCGCCGCTGCAGCCCGAACAGGAACGCCCTCGGTTGGCTCCGGGGCCCCGGAAGAACCGGCAGGCGCGTGATCAAAGGACCCGGGGAAATGGGCGGGGCTCCAGCGCCTGGGAGCAGCCAATCCGGCGGCGGAAGGAGGACGGCCCGGAGACTTCTGGAGCCTCCAATCCAGAGGCGGGGGGTGGGCGGTGCGAAGGCGGGGATGGCCGGGCTTGCAGGGTCCTCCCTGCGGCGGCAGGGGGCAGCCGAGGGCTGCGTAGCGAGGGGCGGGGGGAGAGCGCGGCGCGGGGCGGGGCGCGCGCGGTTTCCCGGCGTCCCCGAGACCGACCCCTGCCGGGCGCCACGCTGTTGGGAGCTCGGATTCGGGGCAGGTGCCGGGCGGCACCCCACTCCTCCGGCTGGAGCCACGCGTAGGGTCACGCCACGCTCTAAGGGTTAGCCCAGGCCCTTCACGGCAGGACCCTGCCCCGGCCCCACAGGCCTCCATTAGTGTTACTGAGTGGCCCTTGGGCTGTGCTCCCCGGTAAGGTCTGACAGGCCTGGGTTAGCTCTTGCCGAATCTGCAATCCCGGGCCCACCCACCTTCTCTGCACCTTAGTCTTAACGTCTGTAAAACAGGCTGTTGTGAGAGTTAAGTGATGACCTGGGTAAGGAGCCTAGCACATAGTGTGCCCTGAAGGTTAAGTTCCTCCTGTTCACCTCTTTCCGGTTTTGGAGGACACAGACGGAACAGCAGGGTGAAGTCCCTCTGGGTCACAGGAAACTTGCTAAACCGGTAAGCTTGGGTCAAAGCTTTCGTGGTCTGATCATTAAAATGGCACACACTGAAGAGACCTGAATAAGACAGGTGGAGTTTACTAATGTTAATATTCCTGGTTGTGTTGTAGTTTTGCAAAATGTTACCATTGGAGAAGCTAAGCAAAGTGTATAAGTGATCTCGCTGTATTATTTCTTGCAACTGCATGTGAATCTACGGTTACTTCAAATGTGTGCGTGGTATACTCATACATACACATGACATATATATACAATCATCCCTCATTGTCGGAGGGGATTGGTTCCAGGACCCCCCGGGATCCAAAATCGACAGATGGTCCAGTCCCTTATACTAAATGGCATAATATTTGCATATAACCTACTCACATCCTCCTGTGTACTTTATATCATCTCTAGATTACTTATAATACCTAATTCAATGACTACACATCACTTCATTCACGTTAATTCACTGTAGTACTTGGTGCACCTCAAGTTCAAGTTTTGCTTTTTGGAACTTTGTGTAATTTTTTTTCCCCAATATTTTTGATCCTTGGTTGGTTGAGTCCACAAATGCAGAACCCCAGGGTTACAGTGGGCCAACTGTATATAGTTTTGTAGCAGACTGCCTTGGCTTGAATGTCCCCCCAAAATTTAATCCCCACTATAACTGCTGAGAGTGGGAATTCCTATTATGGTAATTGAAAGGTGGGGCCTTGAAGAAGTGATTAGATTGTAGAACCATGCCTAGTGAATGGATTAATAATAGTGGTCATGGGTGTGATTTGGAGAGCTTTAAAAGGAGAGTGAATGAGGAGATTAGTCTCCCTCTGCTCCACCATTTCCACAATGTGATAATCTGGGTTGCCACCACCAGATGTGTTCTTTGGACTTTGGATTTCCCAGCCTCAGAAACTGTGAGCAATAAATTTCATTTGTTTTATAAATTACCCAGTTCTGTGTATTTTGTTATAAGCAACAGAAACAGACTAATACACAGACCCTCCACTTCCCCCCCAAATCACACCATTGGGAAAACTCCAGACTGGCAGGTGATGGAAGCTACCCAAGAACATCAAGTTTGTGGCAGTGGAATCAGGCTGAAGCCCTTCTGGGTCATCAGGTTGTGATGGGGATAAGGGATGACCTAGGTTGCCCTATTCTTGCCAGAGGAAACCTTAGGGGCAGGTGTGAGGTGCTGGGAGCCAAGACCTGCTCACCACAGGCAGCCAGTGGCGTGGACAAGGGTGAGTCGCTTGGTCTGGTCTGGCCTGGGTTTTCTCAGGCTCTTCCAGAGAAGGCTGGATGAGGGCAGGTCTGGTGCAGAGGCTGACCCAACTGGGAACCAGAGGGAAGATGGGAACTTTGATCTCTTGCCTCCAGAACAACCATCTGACTGTGGTGGGATTCAGGGATAGAGGGAAAGGAATGAAAGAAATGCCTAAGTCTGGAGGCTCCAGTTGGATCTCCTGTGCTCTTAGGCTTTTGAGGCCAGAGAGTAGTCGACCAACCACTCCAGGTGTCTGTCAGAGCTGAGTCTGACTCACCTTGCAAAGAAGTGGGGAGCAAGTGATGGGTTTGAGAACCCAGGCACCCTTGGCTGTTCACATACTTAACTTTTGTCCGTATCCTTGGTACTTCCCACCACATATCTTGAGCAGGTCCAGCAGTCATATTGGTTAGGCTAGAGTGTGGAAAGTGCTAGGATCTCAGGGTCAGAGACTCAGCATGTCTTTATTTTCCTTATTTCTGGGAAAGAACATCCTTGTGAGCTAGGCAGGGCAGGTGGAGCAACCCCAAGTTACAAAGGAGTAAGCTGAGGCCCTGAGCAGTGTGATGACTTCTCAAGGCCTTGGTATGAACATCAAGGGCAGGGTAGGACGGGATGACTGGTGGACCTCTCTTCCTGGACAGTGCTGTGCTGGAAGATGCTCCAGAGCTGCACTGGAGGCCTGGTTTCTTCCTGTGCTGAGGCTTCATATCCCATAAGGGTATCCTCAAGTACAGTCAGGAAATACTCCAGTTCTGCCTGCCCTCTTCATGCAGTTGCCACTTCAGGAAGGGGAGGGCTCAGGTGGGATTGAGGCTGTACTGTGCTATCCTGCTTAAGTTTTGACTGACCCTTATTCATGCTGCTGTGGTTACTGCCTGGACTTGTGTATTCACTTCTACTAATGCCTCACTCATTCTGTGTCCTCCTGCTCTGTACTTACTGAACAAATAATTTTTAAAAGACTTGAAAAGACAGAACTGTTTTCAAGTAACTTAACTGCATTCCAGAACAAAGCTCAAGAAGATATATAGGAATGAAAAAATACCCAGCACCCAACAAGGTAAAATTCATAAATTAGGTATCTATTAAAAAATGGATCCAAGGCCAGCCCGTGGCTCACTTGGGAGAGCGTGGTGCTGACAACACCAAGTCAAGGGTTAAGATCCCCTTACCGGTCATCTTAAAAAAAAAAAAAATGGATCCATAAAAAATACCCAGGCATGCAAAGAGGCAGGAAAACACAACCCACATTGAGGAGGATAATCAATCAACTGAAACAGATCCAGAACTGACACAGATGCTAAGCCTAGCAGAAGATATTAAAAGTTATTTAACCGTCTCTGGTAGTCTAGTGGCTAAAAAAAAAAAACCTATTATAACTGTGTGGTGGATTGAATTATGTTTCCCCCAAATTCACTGAAGTTTGAATTGTGTCCTTCAAGTTTTATGTATTAGAAACAGCCCCCATTGTGACTCTCAAGAGGGTGGGAAATCCTGTTATAGTAATTGAAAGGTGGAGCCTTGAAGAGGTGATTTGTTTTTTTTTTGTTTTGTTTTGTTTTTGTCTTTTTCCGTGTCCGGCAACAGATCGCAACCCTCAGTGTCGCCCCCGTACCGGACCGGGACCGGCAATGGGATCGCAGCCCTCGGTGTTGCTCCCGCGCCTCGCTCAGCCAATGAGCGGGAACCGGTCTGTATGTGGGATCCGAACCCTCGGCGGGAGCGCCGCCACGCTTCCCAAGCAGCGCACTATAGCAGTGTGCCACTGGGCCGGCCCATTGAAGAGGTGATTTGGATTGTAGGACCGTGCAGTAGTGAATGGATTTAAAATGGTGGTCAGGAGTGTAGTTCTAAGAGCTTTAAAAGAAGAGGAGAATCTCTTGCTCTCTCTTTCTCTGCTTCCATCATCTTGTAATGTGAGACCCCTGGGTCACTGTTGCCACCACCAGATGGACTTCAGACTTCCCAGTGTCAGAAACTGTAAGCAATAAATTTTTTTCTTTGTAAATCACCCAGTTTCAGGTATTTTGTTATAAGCAATGGAAACAGACTAATACAAACTGTATTCCATATGTTCTAAAAGTTAAGACAAGAAATATAGCCAAACTGGCTAGCCGGTTAGTTCAGTAGGTTAGAGCACAGTATTATAACACTAAGGTCACAGGTTCGGATCACCAAGCAGCTGCCAAAAAAACCAAAAAAAAACATATAAACAAAAAAGTAAAAGATCCAAATTGAACTTCTAGAAATGAAAACTACAATGTCAGATAAAAAATACACTGGATGGGATTAATGGCAGATCAGAATTTGCAGAAGAAAAGATAAGTGAACTTGAAGGTATAGCTAGAAACTATCCAAAATGAAACAGAAAATATCCAAAAATGAAAACTGGAAAGGTCATCAGTGAGCTGTGGAACAACCCTCAAGTGGTCTAATATACACATAATTAGAAGCCAGAAGGAGAGGAGAGAGAGAGGGAACAGAAAAATATTTGAAGAAATAATGGCCAAAAGCTTTCTAAACTTGAATATGACTATAAGCCTACAGATCCAGGAAGCACAATAAACCCTAAGCATAAGAAATGTGAAGAAAACTATACCAAGACACATCATAATCAAATTGCTCAAAAGCTAGTAATAATGATGTTATACACAGGGAGACAAAGTTAAAAATGACATCAGATTTTCACTGGAAACAATCCAAGTGAGGAGACAGTGGAACAAATCTTTGAATTACTGAAAGAAAAAAAATTCTCAATCTAGAATATTGGGTATTTCTTGTCAAAAACAAGAAATAAATATGTTTTCATGTATACAAAAACAAAGAATTTATCACCAGCAGACCACACTACAAGAATTGTTAAAGAAAGTTCTTCCGGCGAAAAGGAAATGGTACCAAATAAAAATACAGACCTACCCAAAAGAACGAAGAGCACTGGAAATGGTAACTACATGAATGTGTCTGTGTGTGCATATCCTCTTATTATTTAAGTTTTTAAAATTTTTTTATTTCTTTGGCAGCTGGGCAGTATGAGATCCGAACCCTCGACCTT